TTTCTAACTCTCTATCCCTCTCCCTTCCTCTCTGTAAAAAATCAATAAAATATATTTAAAAAAATAAATAAATAAATAAATAAATAAAATAAAAAAGGAGATTCCAGCCCTAGCCGGTGTGGATCAGTTGGTTGAGCACAAACTCAACCAAAGTTTATGGGTTCAAATCCCAGTCAGGGCATGTAAGGAAGGCAACCAATCAATGTTTCTCTCTCTCTCTCTCTCTCTCTCTCTCTCCCCCTCCCTCCCTCCCTCCCTCCCTCTGTCTCTCAGCATGTCATCAGGTGAGGATTAATAATAATAATAATAAATAAAAAGATTCCAGATAAAACATTCAAAGTGACAGACATGATTTTTTGCTAAGTATGTGTTTTTATAATTGCAAATGAATGGAATAGGCCAAGTGTTCATTATGGGAGACTGCTTAAATAAACAACAGTACTAGGTGTTAGAAAATAAATGGAGTATTATGCAGCTGTAAAGATAATAAGAATGTTTCCTAAGTTCTCTAATGGGATGTGTTAAGAAAAAAAGGATGTGGTGGTATAGTGTGGATAATATACTACTTTTTGTGCAAGAAAGAAAAATGATTAAAAGTCATATTTACTTGCCCTGACCAGTTTGGCTCAGTGGATAGAGCGTCGGCCTGTGGACTGAAAGGTCCCAGGTTCGATTCTGGTCAAGGGCATGTACCTTGGTTGCAGGCACATCCCCAGTAGGGGGTGTGCAGGAGGCAGCTGATCAATGTTTCTCTCTCATCGATGTTTCTAACTCTCTATCCCTCTCCCTTCCTCTCTGGAAAAAATCAATAAAATATATTAAAATAAAATAAAAAAGGTTTTAAAAAAAAGTTGTATGCCTTTAAAAAAAAAGTCACATTTACTTGTATTGAAATAAGTAGACTATGGAAAGATATCAAAGAAATACAAACAGATCTGGAGAGAGTTAGGTTGGTCTTGAGTTGTGGGGATAAGAAGGCCAACTTCCTACAATGAGAAGGTAGGGCGTGGGGTAGATGGGAGACTTTTCACTCAACAACTTTTTACATCGCTGTGAATTGTAAATGATGGGATTATATTACCTGCTTTAAAAATCAATAGGAACTTCTATAAAAAAAAAACAGTTTGGCAGATCTTCAATAAGTTAAACAAAGACCTAGCAATTCTGCCCCAAGATACAGACCCAAATAGGTGTTTAAACAAAAAATGTGTGCATGAATATTCATAGCAGCACTATTCACAGTATCAAAAAGGTGGAAACAACCCAAGTGTTCATCAACTGATGAATGGATGTGGCAGAGCCATACAATGGAAGAGTATCCATATATATAAAAGCCTAATATGCAAAGTGTCTCCTCGGGAGTTTGACCAACCCGGAGTTTGATCGCTTGCTATGACGTGCACTGACCACCAGGGGGCGGCACAGAACAAAAGAAGGCCCCGGCTGGCAGCCGGTAGCCACTAGGGACCCTACCGGTGCACGAATTTCATGCACTGGGCCTCTAGTTCAGCCATAAAAGGAATGAAGTTTTGATGCATGATGAGCCTCGAAAACATGCTAAGTGAAAGAAGCCAGTCACAAAAGGCCACATGTTACATGATTTCTTTGATATGACGTATCTACAGCTGGCAAATTCAGAGGCAGAAAACAGATTAGTGGTTGCTAAGGGCTAGGGGAGAAGGGAATGGAGAGTAATTACTTAATGAATCAGGGTTTCCTTTGGGGTGATGAAAATAGATAGTGGTGACAGTTGCAAATATTATGAATGTGCTAAATGTCACTAATGATAAATTCTATGTTATGTGTATTTTACCACAATTTTATTTTATTTTTTTAGATATATTTTATTTTAGAGAGGAAGTATAGAGGGAGAGAGAGATAGAAACATCAATGATGAGAGAGAATCATTGATCGGCTGCCTCCTGCATGTCCCACACTGGGGATCAAACCTGCAACCGGGGCATGTGTCCTGACTGCAAATCAAACCATGACCTCCTGGTTCATAGGTCAATGCTCTATGCCACGCCACTTGGGCTTTTTAAAATATGTTTTTATTGATTTTAGAGAGGAAGAGAGAGAGAGAAAAATATCGATGTGAGAGTGAAACATTGATCAGCTCTCCTGCACCTACTCTGATGGGGATGGAGCCCACAACCTGGGCCTGTGCCCTGACCGGGAATCGACCTGACAACCTTTTGGTGCATGGGACAATGTTCAGCCCACTGAGCCACATGGGCCAGGGCTATCACAATTTTAAAAACATTTTTAAAATGTTTTTAACTCAGTAAGGAAAATCAGACCCTTGAATGTAGAGACTTACAGGGTAAACATATAAGTGGTAAAGATCTATTTGGAAAACAAAAACCCTAGGACCAGCCTTCAACACTCCATCCCCAGCTCCCCACCTTGTCAGGTTGGGAGGCGTTGGGTGGCTGTTGGAAGGTGAGGAGGTGCAGGCCAGGCAGGAAGCTCTGGGTGACGCAGGCCTCCAGGGATGTGACGAAGACAGGTGCAGGCCCCCACCAGCCCACGGTGCCTGAGATCTGCTCTCCTCGGCAGTGGGCCTGCTCTATAAGGACAGGAGGGGGGGTCAGTGTGGGGTGCAGCAGTGCCCCCCCCCACACTTTCACTGGTCACTCACCAGGCCGAGGGAGGCAGCTCTCATTGTGCACACACCAGCCCAGGGCACCAGGTCCCCGGGGAGGAGCTGCAGGGCTGCTGAAGGCCAGGCAGGCCTGGCAGTCACTCAGGAGGCGCCCCAGGCCCAGGCAGCTGGCAGCCAGACACTGCAGGAAAGGAAGGGGACAGGGGTCCTTGTTCACCGGGGCTTATGAGATCTGGAAAGGGCTATGGATTTAGGAGTTTTGGAGTAGAATGGATCAGGGAATTGAAACTCAATTAGAATGGAGAAAGATGAAGAGGACAGGGCCTGGGGATATGGGTAGAGATAAGTTCAAAAGGATTGGGGAAAGGGTCAAAGTTTAGGGGTCAGCAATCAGGAATCGGGGACGCTGATCTTAGATGTGAAACAAATCTCCCGTGTGTGTGTATGGGGGGAGTCCTTCTTCACTTGGTTTCAGCAGAGGGAGACACTGAGGGATGGTCTCTGTGCGAGGGGCAGTGTGAGGACAGCTACTCACAGCCCCTGAGGGGGTCCCAGGAGGCAGTGCAGCTTGGCAGGACCCCTGACACCAACTGCATTCGGGGTCTCGAGAGCAGACACTGTGGTCCGTGTACATGGAGCAATAGTCCAAATGGTACTGTAGAGAGATGGCAGTGGAGGAAGGGGCTCCTCAGACGGGGGCCTGTTCCTAGATTCCCACTCACTTTGATCATCCCAGGGTACCTCAACTGCTCAGCACCTTGAGGATCCCTGTCCAATCCTCTTCCAGTGCCAGGAACCACTGCCCCTCTGCCTCCATCCCTCCTCCCCTGAACCTGGGAGCCAACATCCCTCCTCTCATGAACCTAGGGACTCCCACTGCTTATCCCAAGGACTCTCAACTTTCTCATCTGTGGGAATCACGCCGCCTCCTCCCCAGCCACCCTCTCCCTATCACCCCAATACTCACGTCTGGGGCAGGCGCCTGGAACACAAAGGGGGGCACCTTGTAGGCCATCAAATCCCCACGGGGCCGGCCACTGTACCCACCAGCCACCAACAGGACACTGCCACCAAGCACAGCTGCCACATGTGAATACCGACCACTGGGAGGCGCTGCTCGGCCTAGAAGAATACAGACCCCCAAGGACATGGGATCCCCAATACCCCTCCCTCCTTCGTGGCTTCCCTGCCCAGAGGACTACACTGGCTCTTCTAAGCCTCAGCTCAGTCTCCTAGCTCCTGCTTCAAACCACCTGCCCATGGAAACCCACCCAGCCTGCCTGGCCCTGCACCAGCTCGTCCTTTCTCTCCTCCGGCCTCCCATAACCCTACACAAGCCACCTGTCAGACAGAGTATGACCTCTAGGGTCAGAAAAACTTGGGTTCGCCCTAGCTGGTTTGGCTCAGTGGATAGAGCACTGGACTGAAGGGTCCCGGTTCAATTCGTCAAGGGCACATGCCTGGGTTGCGGGCTTGATCTCCAGTAGGGGGCGTACAGGAGGCAGCCGATCAATGATTATCTCTCATCATTGATGTTTCTATCTTTTTCTTCCTCTCCCTTCCTCTCTGAAATCAATAAAAATATATTTAAAAAAAAAGAAAAAAGAAAAAGAAAGACTTGGGTTCAAATCCTGGGTCTAACATTTACTTGGGTTTAAATCATGGATCAACTACTGGCTAGCAGGGTAGCCTTGGGCAAGAAACTCGAAGTCTCCGATTCTGTGTTCTCTGCCCTTAGGGAGCTGCCTGGCTCTCACCTGCTTTTCATCTGCCTGGCAATAGCCTCCCTTCTGGGGACAGCCTCTGATTTTCCCCTGGAAAACAACCTTCTCCCTCTCCCAGTCCACAAGGTTCAAGTCAAGCCATACCTGCTTCGGGCAAAAGTGGGGCTTTAGCCCAGGCTTATCAGTGTCAGTGATTAGTTCAGGATGAAACTCAATTCCTACAATTCTTGGGGGGGAAACACTCTCTTCCCTCTGAGAATTTTTTTAAAATATGTTTTTATTAATTTTAGAGGGAAAGGAAGAGAAAAGGAACAAGAGAGAAACATGGATGAGAAAGAAATATCGATTGGCTGCCTCCTGCATGGCCCCTACTGGGGATCTAGCCTGCAATCTGGGCATGTGCCCTGACTGGGAATCAAACCTCGACCTCTCGGTGCATGGGACAAACAGGCACACCGGCAGGGCCCCTCTGAGCATTTTAAAGGGGTAAAATATCGTCCAAGAGCTGCTGGTGACCATCTACAAAAGGAAAGCTGGCTGGAGACTGAAGTAAACTCAGCGAGAACTGGAGAGAGAAATGGCTAATGCCATCATGTGAGCACCTGGATCCAGCCCAACCTGAAGCTGGCCAGAGTTTCACTCAAGTTAGCCAAGAAATTCTCCCTTTTGCTTAAGCTGGTTGGGTTAGATTTCTGTCACTTTACAACCAAGAGTCCTGACCGACAGGTAAGTGGTCAGTGATTGGTGACTCCCCCACCCTCTTACTGAACCCAAATGCTCTGTAAGCACCTGGGTCTTGGTTCAGGGAATCACAAACTACAGAAGAGGAAGAGACTTCCAAAAATCTCACATTCTCGCCTGCCCAGTAAAGGAGCCTAAAAGAGGGAGAGGGACAGGCAGAGGAGTCCTGAATGGGAGATCTCAAATGTCAGGCCCAGACTTTATCCCTGATGGTCCACAAATCCTTGGGGACCTTCCCTCTAAGTGCCCACCCTTCCTCTGTCCTTGCTCTTCTGTTCAGTGGAGTGTGGAGAACAGACAGGCCTCTGGGAAGTCCATAGTCCCCTGAAATGATACGCCCCCTTTGTGAGGAAGGGACCTGATCTAATGAGTTTGAAAGGTTCTCCACACCCCCCTTAATTATGGCTTTTGCACAGGTAGTTCTTTGGGGCCAGCCATCCTGGTTTTGCCCTTGCCCACTGTGTGACCCTGAAAAAGTTACCTCTTCGTGGGCATTTCCCTATGGAAACTGGCAAACCTGAACTGGAACCTAGGTCTGATGCTGCTGTAACTGCCTCCCATCTCCATGACAACAATGCCCTAGTCCTGTCTGCAGTGCAGGCTTGCCCCCTGAGCAGGCTCAAATAGCATGTCTGGCTCACCCCGACAAGGACCGAGGTGGCTCTTGCCCAAAGCCCAGATTCACTGTAGGGGGAAGTGTGACCTTCAGGAGCCCCTCAGGAAAACAGAGGGGTCACTCACCCTCAGGAGTTCCTGGCGGGGCAAGCTCAGCCCCTGACACCCACTGATGGCAGCCCAGGTGGTAGAAGAAGATGCCATCTTCATAGCACTTTTCCTCCTGGTAATGGGTGTGCACATTGCCTCCTGGGAAAGAAGGAAAGGGGCACAGCTGGCAAGGCTAGGGGAGGTGGGGCACCCGCGCAAGCACCCTCAGCTCAGGGTTGCTTTGGACCCCCGGCAGGCAGACAGGCAGGCAGGAAGCCTCCTCACCATAGACCACCATGTAGTTGCCCAGGACACTGGCTGTGTGGAAGGCTCGCTCCCGTGGGCCCTGCAGCCCATCCCGGCCCTTCAGGGTTGTCCACACACGCCGATCCACATGGAAGAGCTCAGTGGAGTTCACCCGCACAGAGAACCTGTGGGGGAAGGCAGAAGGAAGGGCTCAGGGCACGAGGGGCCTCTGTCCCTCCTCTGGGCTGTTAAAGTTGTGTAATCACTCAGGGTGGAGACCGGCGGTAACTGGGCTTATGTCCCCTCAGAACTAGAAGTTCCTATGGACAGGACCCAGGCTAGACTTATAATCTAGCCAAAGCTGGACACCAAGGAGGGGCTGGTGGAATGGACGGACAGTGGGAGTGTGTGGGGAAGCAAGTAACCAAGAGATTGAGTGGGTGCGTGCATGAGTGAATAAATGAAGGAAGGAGTGACCGAATGCCTACAGGAGTCCATCGGTTGGCAAAGCCCACTAAAGACGAAGCCCAGGTATTGGGCCAGGCCTGGCCCTGCAGAGCAGAGGTTGTGGGCAGGTCACTCACCGGGCAGTGGAGGGCCGGTGTCCACCATGAACCAGCAGGGCTCGAGATGGGGCATGAAACACCATGGAGTGGCCGGTGGCGGCAGGGGGCCGCCCACCTGCCGGAATCACCTGCTCCCAGTAGCCCCCACTGGTGCTGTCAAGGCGGAAACGGAAGAGGCCGGAGGAGAAGAGGTCGTGCTGGGTGCGGCCACCAGACACATAGAGCCAGATGTTGTCCACCAAGGCAGCTGCATGACCTGCCAGGCCTGGCGGCCCCGAGGAACTAGAAGCAGGTGGTGCCAGTTGCTCCCAGTGGCCCCCGCCCAGAGGGCTGAAGGCCCACACGTCGCTAGTGAGGGAGCCATCAGCCAGCTCACCGCCCATCAACACCAGGGAGCCGGCCCAGGCCACAGCCACATGGGAGTGACGGGCAGCCTGTGAGGAAGAGACGAGGAGACAGAGATGGAGAGGAAAACAGATGGTGACACACAGAATGACAGAAAGAGCCAGACACAGACACAGAGATGCAGAGACAGAAGAGAGACAGACCCATACAGACAGACACATGTGAATACAAGCAGAGGAGAAACAAAGAAACACAATAAGGAAGGCAGAGCCAGGGAGACAGAAATAGAAGGAGAAATGACAGAGAAAAACAGAGAAGTAGAGATACAGTCCAGAGAGAAGGAGACACAAGGATCAAGGGTCAGAGAGATGGACCAAGAGCGAGACAAGACACACAGAAAGATGATGTAGAAAGGGATATAAAGAAAGACAAAAAAAATCAAGGAGACACAAGGATCAAGGGTCAGAGAGATGGACCAGGAGCAAGACAAGACACACAGAAAGATAAGATGTAGAAAGGGATATAAAGAAAGACAAAAAAAATCTGAGACAGAAAGCAGAAACAAAGGAGCAGGTGTTCCCCTATCAAGCTGCAGGCGGAGGGGCTATAGGTGAAGAGGTGGCTCTGGGAGGCCCTTACTGGGGCTGACAGAGTGGGCAGGCGCCTCCAAGCAGGGCAGAGGCGGGGTCCATACCGGAGCAGGACTCAGGTCCCAGCGCTCCCAGGTGTTGGCAGAGAAGTTATACAGCACGAGGTCACCCAAGGCGCTGTTGAGGTCCTGGCCTATGAAAGGTGGATGGTCTCAAGCCCTGGCCACAGGCTGCCAGGCCTCCAGACCCCAGACACACACCCATTTGCTCACCTCCAAAAACGGCCAACAGTCCTGGTGGGGACAGGAAGGCACCAGCTGCCCCGACACGAGCAGGGAAGGCAGGGTCCCCGGCACTCACATTGTGCCACCAGCCAGCCCCCTGGTTCTCCCACAGGTGCAGGTCACAGGCACGTCCCAGGAAGCCAGGCTCACAGCGGCACGGTCCTAGGGGCTAGGGGGAAGGGGACACAAAGGCAGGGGATAGAGAGAGACAGGGAGACAGGGGGAAGAGAGCCAGAGCCAGAGTGAGAGACGTGGAGCAGAAAGGGAGAAGGAGAGAGATGAACAGGGAAGGAGAGAATGGGGGGAAATAAAGAGACAGTTAAGCAAAGGGAGAGAGACAGATAAATAGTGGAAAAAAGGGACACAGAGACACAACCAGAGGAGGCAGAGAGGTGGAGAAAAGCAGACAGACAGAGAGACAAAGAGAAAGACCAGAGGGAAAAATGAAGACAGAAAGAAAACAGATTGGCAAACAAAGATGGTGAGGTCAATGTCTGAGCTAGAAGAGCTCAGATCTGGGGAGGTCAAGACAGGTAGGGCTCAAGGCGTGATCCAGTCCCAAAGATGGATATGCAAGTCTTGGGGCCAAAGTCAGTGGTTGCAAGTCAAAGTCATGGCTGGGGGAATAATGCCAGACTGCGTGGCTGGGTGGGGGGATGGAGTCAGGCCTGGCAAGAGGAAGCAAGGTGAGAGGTGAGTTGTAGATGAGAACAGGAGTGGGCTCGGGCAGACGAGGGGCCCCAGGCGAAGGTGGGGTGGGGTTGGAGTAGCAGGTAGGGCAGTGATGGCGAACCTATGACACGCGTGTCAGAGGTGACACGCGAACTCATTTTTTTGGTTGATTTTTCTTTGTTAAATGGCATTTAAATATATAAAATAAATATCAAAAATATAAATCTTTGTTTTACTATGGTTGCAAATATCAAAAAATTTCTATATGTGACACGGCACCAGAGTTAAGTTAGGGTTTTTCAAAATGCTGACACGCCGAGCTCAAAAGGTTCGCCATCACGGTGCTGTCCTCTCCTCTGTTTTTACTCTTTTTACTTATGCTCTCCCCTCTGTCTGAAGTGCCATGTCCCCTGCATGTCACCAGACTGACTCTTGCTCCTTTAAAAAGACTCAGCTCAGCCCCTACCCTCATTCCATCCCATCCCAGGCTAGGAGACTTCCCTGGAATCCCGAGTCCCTGCCTGAGTCACCGTCCCAGTACTTAACCCTTTGACTGGACTTGGTGATTTCTCCCACTACCAGGGGTGGGCAAACTTTTTGACTCGAGGGCCACAATGGGTTCTTAAACTGGACCGGAGGGGGCCCCACCAACCTTGCCAGAGGAAGCCTCGATGGGTGGGGGTCGGGTGCTCCCACTCAGACTGGCAAGCAGGGGCCCTCGGGGGGAGTCACCGTCATACACGAACAGGTAGTCATACGTGCACTCCGTGTCAAGGAAAAGGAAGTCCAGCAGGATCCGGTGCTGGGGACTCGGTGCTGGGCGGGGAAACAGAGGGGCCAGGCTCAGATGTGAACCCTCGCCCCACACCTCCGTGCAGACCACCCACAAACACCAGGCCCTGCTCTGCATGATGAGGTGACCCAAGTGAGTCTGATCTGGGCCCTGTCTTTGAGGCTCCTGGTCTCACAGCCCAGGGAGGCCAGAGCTCAGAGAAGGATTGCAGTCTCAGCCCTGGAAAGGACTCCTGAGGTCGGGATGACCACCCAAAGGATGGGCAATGGACCTGCTGAGAGAGGGAGCCCATCTCAGTGACCAGACAGAGCTGTTCCCATTTACTCTTCTTCTTTTTCTTCTTTTTTTTTTTTATTGATTTCAGACAGGAAGCTGTCTTTGAGGCTCCTGGTCTCACAGCCCAGGGAGGTCAGAGCTCAGAGAAGGATTGCAGTCTCAGCCCTGGAAAGGACTCCTGAGGTCGGGATGACCACCCAAAGGATGGGCAATGGACCTGCTGAGAGAGGAAGCCCATCTCAGTGACCAGACAGAGCTGTTCCCAATTACTCTTCTTTTTCTTCTTCTTTTTTTTTAATTGATTTCAGACAGGAAGTGCAGAGGGAGAGATAGAAACATCAATGATGAGAGAATAAGAAGCATAAGTGATGGATGTGGACAACAGGGGGTGAGGGTGAGGGCAGGATTGGGGGGATGAGGGGACATTGGGAGGATAACACATTTGTATATTCAATAAAGGGGGAATAAAGGGAAAAAAATGATGAGAGAATCATTGATCAGCTCATCAATGATTCTGGTTCATAGCTGACACTGAGCCATGCCAGCTGGGCTTTTTTAGATATGTTTTTATTGATTTTAGAGAGGAAGGGAGAGAGAGAAAAACATCGATGGGAGAGTGAAACATTGATCGGCTGCCTCCCACACCCACTCTGATGGGGACAGAACCCGCAACCCAGACGTGTGCCTTGACCGGGAATCGAACTGTGATCTGGTTCATAGGTCGATGCTTAACCACTGAGCCATGCAGGCCGGGCTCATTTATTTTTTTAATTAAAACTTGTTGAAAGTATTACATATGTCCTCTTTTCGCCCCCACTGATCCCTTCTAGCCTGTCCCAACCCCTGACTCCAGGCCTTCACCACCCTATTGTCTGTGTCCATGGGCTATGCATATATGCATACAAGTTCTTTGGTTGCTCTCTTCCTACCCACCCACCCTCCCCCACCTTCCCTCTGAGATTCCGCAGTCTGTTCTATGCTTCTATTTCTCTGGATCAGTTTATTTTGTTTATTAGATTCCACACTCATTTACTCTTGAGCTTCAGACACACCCAGGCCTGGGGAATGGGGCCCAGGCCCGAGCAGAGAGGCATATCTCAGATGGAAAAGGGCCTCTGTGAAAGTTCCCGGTTCCAGGCCGAATAGTGTTCCTAGGGAAGAGGCTGATTCCTTCCCTTGCACACAGGCTGAACCTTAGAGCACCACAGCTCTTCTCTGGCCCACCCAGGGTCTCACCTCTCTGTTATTGTGGTACCTAAGGGCATAGACTCTGGAGCCAGATTGCCAGGACTCAAACCCTGGCTCTGCCATGTATTAGTTACTAGCTATGTGACCTTGAGCACGTCACCTAACCTCTCTGGATAGGTTTCCTCATCTGTATAGTGAGGATATAATGGTACTGTGGTGGATTCACACCCTGGCCACTCCTCCCAGTGAGAGGGGAAGGCTGAGGCCCTGCCCTTTATATCTGGGAAGAGCCTCAGAGACTAGTTTGACCAACAGAGCAGCAGAAGTGGCATTCTGGGACTCCTGAGGCTAGATCAGAGGAAGCTCTGCAGCTTTTACCTGAGGGGTATAGAATGCTCCTTCTCAGAACATAGCTGTCATGCTATAAAAAGCCAAAGCCACATGCAGGGGCCACCTGTAGGCATCCGAGCTGACAGCCCCAGCTGAGTTTTCAGCTGACAGCCAGCATCAACTGCCAGCCCTGAGCAGGATTCTTGGATGCCCAGCCCAGGTGAGTGAGTGTTCAGATGACTGCAGCCCCAGCTGACACATGACTGTGCCTGCATGAGAGGCAATAATGCACATAAAGGGCTTAATGGGGCCTAGCAGTCCTAAGTGCTGCTACTTCGAGTACTGTCAAAATTCTTGCTCTCTGCCAGGTCCTGGTTCCAGAAGGCTCTCATCCCACATCTCACACTAAGAGCTCATGGAAGTCTTCTGGGCTAGGGCAACTAGACTTGGGTTCCAGCTCTGTTCCTGACCTGCTGAAGACCCTGGGCCAGCCCCTTCCGCCATGCCTGTGGGTAGAGTCATCTGCATACTAGAGATGTTCACAGAGTACTCACTAGCTGTGTGATCTTGGGCCAGTGCCATGGGCTCTGTGAGCCTCAGTTTCCTGCATGTAAAATGGGGATAAGTTTCCCCACCCACTAAGGCTAGAGTGGAGATTCGAGACGGTGACTCTAATGTGCCAGCCCAGGCCTTGTGCTCTCACCGGGACCACTGATCAGTCTTCCTCCTAGCCTCTCAGCCTTCCATCTTGCCCTGACATGGATCTCTGAGTGACCTTCCCAACTCAACATCTGGCCCTGGCCCTTCGCTGCTCAAAAGCACTCGGTGGCTCCCGCCATTCTCAGGAGAAAGTCCAGCTCTCTAACCTGACATCTGAAGTCTCACCTGGTCTCACATCACCCCACTGCTTGCAGCTCTACCAGGTGTTGGGCTTTTGCACATGCTCCTCCCTCTATCTGGAGCACATTCTCCCTGCCGGCCTGCAAGTTTCCCCATCTCCTCCAGGAAGCCTTCCCCCATACCCCCTGGCTGGATTAGGTACCCCTCTTAGGGGTTCTCACTTCCCATCATAACCTTCATTCTTCTGAGCCAGGACCATCTGTAGCCAGGTCTGTCTCCCCTGCAGCTGAGGAGGCCCACAGGGCAGGGCCTGGACCTAACTCATCTTGGGTTCCCTCCCTGACATTACCCAGCACAGAGCCTAGCACTGAGCAAGGGCTTGGGAAATGCTGGATGAAAGAATGAGGAAATGCACAAAAGACAAAATAATGAAGTTGGCAGCCCTCCCTCGGGCAATGACCACAGCCCCAGAGAACATCATAACAGACCCGAGCTATGGTCTGGGGAACGCAGAACCATTCAGCCAGACCAGACAAGAACTCCCAGTCTTACCAGCCTCAACCAAACTATAAAGCTCAAAACAAGTACACCTTTGTTAAGTGTACTTAACAAAGGCTCACCATCTGCCTTCCCCAAGTTCCTCCCTAAGTTCAAGGTCTCCTGTTTCCACCCAACATGGGCCCACCCCCATGCCATCCAGAATAGATCCAACCACAAAACCCCCTGCTCTTCAAAAGCAAAAGCCTCTTATTCATGAGGATATTATGAGGACTGCACAATAAAATGTGAACTTAGTACAAAAGTAAGTGGCTTATTTCTTTAATAGGTAGGGGAATATGTTGGTTTCAGAGGTGATAGGCTTTGGGAAGAATGGGAGATCAAAGGAGATCTGGAAGTCTCCCAGAATCCTCCCTACCCCAACATCCAGCCAGTTGGTCCCCAAGTCTCATTGGTGAAACTTCACAACATCTCTCAGTGCTCTCCCCGCCTCACCACCTCCTTAGTTCCTGCCCGAGTCAGAACTCATCCTCTCCTGCAGGACTAGCACACCAGGTTCCCAGTTTGCCCCCACCTGGCTTGAGAGCAAAGTCCCACTCCTACTCAAAATCCTTCTGTAGCTCCCCTTCAATCCCAAGAGCAAAGCCAAGCTGGTCTCAGTGCCATTCAAGGCCCTTCTTCCCCTGCTTCTGGTGCCCTCCCCACCTTTCAGCTAACAGTCCAGCCAGACCAGAAAAACCTATATGTGGCTCCTAAGACACCAACCTCTTCTGTCTTCATAGAGGCTGTTCCCTGTTCTTATCCAGTAAACTCCTATGTATGCTTCAGAACCCTGCTCCAGTGGCTTCTCCTCTGTGATCCCCAGCAGTGTCCTCTCACTCCCTTATAGGCTCCTCTACCCACCCTGTACCTCCTTCTGTCTCAGACCTGGGCTCACTGTGTCCACAAACAGACTGGGGCTCTTCAAGGCCAGGAGATACCACATACCCCCAAAACATACACATACTTCCCATTCTGTTCTCACCACCCCACAGACAGAAATAGCCCCCAAAGCTAGGGACAGACAGGCCCTAGCAGGTTTGGCTCAGTGGATAGGTGTAGGCTGTAGACTAAAGGGTCCTGGGTTCGATTCCGGTCAAGGGCACATGCCCAGGTTGTGAGCTCGATCCCCAGTCGGGGACGTGCAGGAGGCAGCCTATCAATGATTCTTTCTCATCATTGATATTTCTCTCTCCCTCTCCCTTTTCCTCTGAAATCAATAAAAATATTTTTTTTAAAAAAGAAAAGAAAACCCCCTCCATGACTTCCCAGTGCCCCAGGGTAAAGACCAAGCTCCACAGCCCACAGACGGAGGCCCTACACAATCCAGGCCCTAGCGCACCTCTGGCCGTTGCCCAGGACCTCCCCTGGGGGACCCCCACCTCTCCTTGGAGGCCAGCTCCTATATCCGTGCCAAGGTAAGCCTTCTTGGACTTCTCTTCCACCTCCCTATTGCCCTAAGGACACAGTTCAAAATCACAAGGTCCTACACCCTCTACCTCCCCTCAAGCCTCAGCTTCTGGCTCATGGTTTATCTTGTTGTATTCTGCATTCTACACACTGCATTTCTACTTCCTCAAAAGCAGCATACACTCCTGCAGCCAGGCCTTTGTACGGGCTGTTCTCCTTGCCTGGAATGCTCTTATGCTCCCTCCTACATATGCCTCTGGTCTCAGCTATTGCCCAAACTAAGTCATTTTCTCTGGGCTTCCCTCTCCTTGAGGGTAAGTGTGCTTCCCCCACTGGACTGGAAGCCCATGAGGATAGGGCTGGGGCCCTTGCACAGGCTGTTCCCTCTTCCTGGACTGCTCTTCCTCCTCCTCCTGACTGATTCCTATTGGTCCTTTAGTTCTCAGCTCAGACATCTCCTCTCGGAAGCCCTCTGCTCTCCCTGGTCCCCAGGCCAGGCACCTCCTCAAGGATCCCCCACACCTGTGGGGTTCCTCCATCACAGTACCAACTACTCTGGACTGACTATTAATGTGTTGTCTCCCCCACTGGATCCCAAGCCTCAAATCATCAGGGACTTCTGGGACTGCCTTGGTCTCTGCTATGTCTCAGTAGCAAATATAGTATCTGGCACATGAATGATTGAAAAAAATGCTTTTTATTAATACTTTAAAAATGACAACAGTAATAATCCTAATATCATGTACTGAGCATTTACCATTTGCCAGGCATGTTAAAAACCTGTTCTCATTTCATTCCAACAACCCTTTGAGGGAGCGGAGCAGTCCGAAGTACTATTATTATCCCCACTTGGGGGAGGGCAAGCTGAACCTCAGAAAAAGAAAGGCACCTTCCCAAATTTACAAAACTAGTTAGAAGTGGATCCGAAATTTGAAGCAGGATGGTTGGGCTCAGAGCCCGAGTTTCTAACAATTACTCAGAATACCCATATTGATGCCCTAGCTCTGGGTACAACTCCCCCACCAGACTTCAAGGCCTTGCAGGGCAGGGCTCAGGTGGGCTGCTTTTTAGAGCAAAGGGCCTGGCACAGAAAAGGACTCTGGGGATGTGGTGAAGGGATGAATGAGTTCGCAAATGAATGAATTAGCAAATGACTGGGTGTGTGACCCGCACTGCCCCACTCACCCTCGATGAGCCACTCGCAATTGCCATTGACGCTGTAGTTGCCCGCACCATCCGTCACGAAGCCTGGGGCCTCCCGCAGCACTTGCCGCTGCCCCTTGCAGTCCCCCGCCCGGGCCCCAGGGGACATCGGCCCCAGCATGGCCAAACACAGAGCCAGCACGGCGGCCAGAGCCCGGCCCAGGGCCATCGCCGCCTCCAGCACTGACCCTTACAGATGGCACGGACCCTCCACCGATGCTGAAAATGCGACCTCTATGGACGGGACATGGCCTGGTAGCCCGGGGAGGCCCAGGAGTCGCAGTCCCCGCGAAGGGACCTGCCTCTGTTGACGGGCTCTGGAAGTCGAAAGGTGGACCTTACAGACCCATGATAGGCCCTGTAAATGGGGTTGCTATGGACACGGCCGACCCCTAGGGACCGTGGGAGTCCCTTATAGACACAGGCCCCCATAGGCTGGCTGACCCCATACACGATGTCCAGCAATTACAGACGCGGACCGCTGCGGGCCAAACCGGACCTTAGAAATGGGTGGGTCCCCATGAGGCGAGGGGCCCTACAGCCGGACGAGGGCCTCCATAGAGGGTGCGGGCCGGGCCGGGCCGGGCCGGG